TCCATTCTTCCACTCAGGTTATTTTCTTTCATTTCTGTTTATTCCTTTACAGTATCTTCTGCACACCACACAATCTTTAATGCATTTCCTCTCACTGCCTAGTATTTGGAAGCAGATTAGTCCTTTTTATTTCAAGACTGGCACAAAGAGATAAGCCTTACCAATATTCTCTCCTTCCAAGCTGTGAAAACAGTAGACCTACAGATCTCTGCCTTTACCTACAACAACAACAAAAATCTAAATCTTTCTATCATTGACTTTATACAACTAACTACCAATATTTTTCATGGTAGCACTAATTTGGGAATCTCAAGTTTTACTCTGGGGTAAGAGAGCCAGCTACAAGGCAGTTCTTTTCCCATCTGAACATGTGGAAGGTGGCAGATAAAGAAAAGAAATATTAGCCCTTGACAACTCAGAGTCAGGAAAAGCTTCTGACATAAGGAAAAACTTAAATCCTCATACAGTATTTCAGAGTGACAAACAACTCTCTGTCAACAGAAAGGCCAAAGTTCATGCTTAGCAAGTTACGCAAGAACTCTGCTCCTCCTTCAGTCCAGCAACAGGGAGAAGCATGTGCAGCAGTCCAGCTTCCGTCATATCAACGAATCTCTTCTGTTATTACTAGGACTTATCAAAGCTACCTGCCCCTTTCCATTACTGCCTCCTAATTCCTCTCCACTCTGGGACTTGGTGTGATTTGCTGGCATTCACCCCAGGAGTTAAGTATCGTGCAACCATTTTTCTCACAGGTGCCCTCTTCTTTCTCCCTTCCCCCTATAACAGAACTTGGTGGAAACCAATCAGGAGGCCTGGAAAATAATGCATTTTTCCTTAGGTACGCAAGCAAGATACCTAGTGCATCCCTTTTGGGCAATTTAAGGCTTTAACCCAGGGTAGGATTGTTTAACAGACCAAGGTATTGAGAAAGGTAAGATGTCTGTCTGACAGGATTTAAAGAATTAACTTCACATATCTAGGTGATACCAGAACATTTCTCTATTTCTTCATGGTCTCTCTTGCCTTTTCAGTTGCCACCCTGGTAAGCATTTTGTATGATACAGACAAGTCTCCCATATTCTCCAAATCTTGTTCAGTAGCTGAGGGAAGGAATGTGAAAAACAAGACGCATAAATTGTGGGAAATCTCAAAAAGAAGGTCTTAAAATTCTAAGGCGGCAACTTATGCAGAAATGCAAATGTTTTAATTTATTCTGTGATTTTAAATGGATTTATTTGAACACTGCATTGTCCTCATTGTTATTTAGCACATGAAAATATATAAAGCTTAAGAAATTTCACATTTGTAAGAGGTGCCTAGGATTGTAGTAGCACTGTCACATTCTATCATTCTTTCTTTATTTAGATGCTGATTACAGTATCCAAATACCAAGCTATAGAAAATATTTTTCAAACAGTAACATCTGGCTCTTTGGCAGACTTCTCAGGCATTTGTGTTGGAATCATTGGAAATACCACATTATTAGACTGATGAGGAAATCTTTCTGGGCTGCTTAGAGGCATTTTTTTCTTACTCTTGTACTTTTTTCATTTGAAACATTTTTATAATTTATTATTTGTCTAATTGTGTTCTCCCAAAATAATTTGAGGTCACTTGTTATGATTTTCATGTTTATAAATGGGAATAGAGTGAAAAGGGTAAGCTTAGCCAGGTTCATTTAAATTATTTTTAGGTAGGATGGTAGAATGGTCCAGAGGTTAAACCTAGGACTAAGATTCAGAAGATTCCCATCTCTGCCTCAGATTTCATATGACTTTAAGCAGGTCATTTTACTTGTTTGTGCCAATTTCCTCTTTGATAAAACAGGTATACTACTGTCTGTTTTACTTCTGAGAGGTATTGAGATTAAATTCTTCCAAGCAATATAATAACACTTAAAGATATTTCGTTGGAAGATGCTGACGTATGCAAAGTATTATTATTTATTTTAATTGGTATGTATACATTTGTGTCCAGGTACAGATTTAATTAGAGCAGTTATTTTTCTATGTGAATTTAGTGTAAACTATACAAGCTCTCGTCTTGTCTGTTGTACTATTATCTGTTCACAAAGTGGCTTATAATATAAACAAATGTTGTTTGCACACAAAATGTTTAAGGATAACTTAGACTGCAGCCATCTCTTGATATTTGTGATCTTGAGTATATTGATATCTTTTGTCAATAATAAAGGCTATTGGTTAGGTTGTAAAGCTCCATTGCCCAAGAGTGCTGTATTTTGAAGTCATCTGTCATGGATGCATTGTAGAGATAGAAGACTATTTATGTTTATGGCATTTTAAGTAACTCAGTAAAACCTTTTAGAATATACAGAAAAGGTTTGTTTACTGTCATCACTGCTCACTTAATCCTGTGACCTTGACATGATAGTATTCCCATAAAGCTCCCTGCGGGTAGTTCAATAAAATAGATGAACATCAGAATCTAATGATTGTTGCAGCTTCAGGAATAAACTGCCTTATGCCATAAATATGGCTTATACATTCAATATTCTAAAACATTGCTATGTAACAAATTATCTAATTTGTTGGATTATTAGGAAAACCAGAAAAAGACACAAAGGAATATGCACATTATTGGTGAATTTGCGACTATAAACAATCAGTTTTTAAACGTGCTTTGTGTATACTATACCAATAGACTGATGTAAAAAAAAATTTAGTGATAATTTCCAATAGTAAACTATTTCATTTTTTCTTTCATTATATAACACATGCATATTTATTAATTTTAAGAGTCTAGCAGTTAATTTTTCCCCATTTAGCTCCTCTCAAATTTGGGAGGAGAAAGGGTTTCGGTGTTTTCTGTTTGTTTGCTTGCTTGCTTGCTTGTTTGTTGTTGTAGGGCTTTTTCTAAATCTATTACCCTGATGTCTAGCAAAGATTAATTTTAAGATGAGTAGAAACCGCCGGTGGGTAACAGCAAAAATATATATATGGAGGAAGCAAAATAATCAGAAGTGAATTTTCTTAGGCCCAATCTACAGAAATCTGCTGAGAAGAATTTATTGAAGTATTTGAGGCAATGTCTACACTACTACTTATGTTGCACAGGGAGATGAATATTCCACCCCCATGAGCCATATAAATTACACCGGCATAAGCGCTAGTATGCACAGGGTTATGTTGGTGGGAGAGCTACCGCTGCTCATTTGGGGCGGATTAATTATGTTGACAGGGGAGCTCTTTCCCATCAGCTACACGAAAGATCTTACAGTAGCGCAACCAGTGCTTAATTTGTAATTAAACAGGTGCCGGGACTCAAGCTATTTTTTTACTTTCATAACTGACGTGGCAAACCCAAAGGTGCCGGGGGCTATCAACTGCCAAGCATACAGGTGCCGGGGCTCAGCCTTGGCAAGCCCTGGTACAAATTAATTACTTGGTGCAGCTGCATCAGTACATTTGCATAGCTGTAAGCTCTCACTTGTAGACTAAGGCCTTGTCTACTGGCAGCGATCGATCCAGCAAGGGTCGATTTATCGCGTCTAGTCTAGACGCAATAAATTGACCACCGAGCACTCTCCCGTCGACTCCGGTACTCCACCAGGGCGAGAGGTGCAGGCGGAGTCGACTGGAGAGTGTCAACCATCGACTTATCGCAGTGAAGACACCACAGTAAGTAGATCTAAGTACGTCAACTTCAGCTACGTTATTCATGTAGCTGAAGTTGCGTAACTTAGATCAATCCTCTCCCCCTAGTATAGACCAGGCCATAGGGACTCTGTGTAGGTGAATCCCTTTGCTATATTAGGGATGTAATTTGTACCCGGAGTGACTCGTATATTATAGTGTTGCCCCTTTTCGACCTGAGCAGCTAGTCAAAGTTCAGGGCTCTGGGGATGTTACAGTTAGGAGGAGAAATTGGTGGACAGGTATTTCTTTGATGCAATCTTGTTTATTTACAAGGTATGTACAAAATCCTGCTTCTCTCAACTAAGGAGGAACCAAAAACAAGAGGAGCAGTTTCTTAGCTTGCAACACCAAGGCTCTTTAGCTGATAGACCCAAAAGTTCTCTCTCTAGCTTTTTCCAGGGTCACACTGTACTCACCAGCTTCTGCTTGGCTTCGTTGCTTTTTACCTCTCCCTCTGCCTGTTCTCAGTTTCTGTGCGTTCTCTCACACACCCTCATAAATCCCTGGTCACAATATCCAGTGGAAACCCCTGCCTACATGGTGCTAGTTTCTGGGCAGATTCTCTTAGGCTTTGTTTTAGGTGTGGCCCCTTAGCTGTCTTAAATGAAGGGCATGTTCAGTTCAAATCAGTTTGAATGATGTTTTAACTCAGCCCATAATGAGGTATCACCCAGCTCATAACAACACACACACCCCAACCTAGCTTTGCTCATCATCCCAATGAGGCCTAAAATAGGAAAACACAATACCTGTATATACAGTGTCTTTTGTCAGAATAGTTTCACATCATAGACATAAAATAACTTTATTCCCACCCAAATCACTTTGGGCCTTTTCTCTCCATGCAGGGCCGGCTCCAGGCACCAGCTGAGCAAGCTCGTGCCTGGGGTGGCAGATTATAAGGGGCGGCAGCATTCCCTGGAATCCTTTTTTTTTTTTTTTTTTTTTGCTTTGCCGCTCCCGCCACCCCGCAGAATTGACTGAAACCTGTCAGAAAAGAAAAGCAGCTAGCAGTGAGGTGAAGTGAGTCCACCAGGAACAACATTGAATTGGCTAACTATACCGATTTAACCTCAGATGACTACCATTGAGATGGATGGAGAAAAAACCTTCCATGAAGCAATGGCTATTCTGCACTACTACATAGCTAACTGCTGTAGCTGTGGAAGACTGTACACTGAGGAAAAATAATTTCTTCCATAATAGCCTTTCAAGTTGAGATGGATAGTAAAAAGGTAGCTTATCTGATTCATCAGAAAGCTTCAAATTATGTTGTCTCCTTGTGGGCCTAGATGAAACATGAACTGTTTCTTTCCAGGTGAACATTGTTTTTTATCTTTAAAGGTCTTTCCTTGGTGTTGATATTCAGTGTATCAAAGACATAGAATTGCAGTTGAATATTCTAGGAATGAAAGAAATGCAGAAAAATCACAAGTTAGATGTTGTTACAGTATGATAATCAAATTCTCTGCCTATGGCCTCAGTGAGAACCTCTGCTATATAGTAACTCTGCTAACAAAAGCAGCTAGTCTGGTAAAATGAAGAAAAGAGTACTAGGCTTAGTTTAAAAGGTATTGCTTCGAGCTGTACGAGAATGGAGCACTATGTTCACTTCAATGCAGATAGAGGGGCATTATGAACAGGGAAATAATTTTTACATAGAAATTATTGTAGTCCCATTGTTTTTATACTGGTCTCTTGCTTCATCAGATGGATGATATGGTTTGGCTTTGCACCTCAACTTTTGGATTAGTGACACCTTGCATATATTTTATTCCTTATGCCTGTTTGAGTAAACATCATCTTCCATAGAAAGACATAGATGCCTAAACTCGGCTGGAGGTCTGTTTGAGGGAAATACATCCCCCATGTGTCTAGGCTTAAGAAACTCAGTTTCCTTTATGGGTAGGTAGAGCTACAGGCTGTATGCTTGGTTCTGGCTGCAATATTCTCAGTATTTTAAAGTCAAATGTAGATTCTACAGGCAGCTCAGCTGTGATTGTATATAATACCTGAATCATGAAAGGGTATTACAGCCTGCTTTGTCAAAAAGTAGCTTTTCTCAAAGTGCAGAAGGTTCTGCTGGACTCTTTCAAATTTCTATTTTCATACAAAACAAAGGCCTTCTTCCTCATGCATATCATGTTCCAGTAGTATTGGAATAGTTTCTTTCATTATCTAAAAATGTTATGACTGGCTTTTCAAAAGATATTTTGACAACCATTACTGTTTTCCAGGAAGAAGTATGTAAGATCTTTCTTTGCTTCCCTCTAATCAGTTCCTCCAGGACTCCTTTATATACATACTCCAGTTAAATGCCAGGTACAATCATGGGATCTGAAGTTAAACCTAAATCAGAGGGCCATTCAATAGGTGTCTTGCCCATTATTTCAGTAGGACCAGAATTTGTCCACGAGTGTTGAGTATACTGGTGGGGCCTCTGTTCTAATCCGTTAACTAATGCCTGCTGCCCATTGCATTTTGTTTCACTAAAATGGTCTTTCTAGTGGTTATCATCCTTAGCCAGGCAGATAGTAAGTTCCAAGTTCTTTCAAGAGTTTGTTCTGCTTCGGGTTAATGCACATGTCCATTCCACTGTAGGTATGTGTGTCCCTCGTACACAGTTGTCAGAGATTTTTCCCTCAGCAGTACCCATCAGGGGAGTGTGAGTGCCCTCTGATGCCTTGCACCTCTGCATGCAGGTATAAACCCCAACCCCAACCCCCGACAGTTCTTTCCTACTGCCAGTGATGGTTGTTGGAGCTCTGATCTTTGTATTTGTAATTTTCTAGAGCAGGATTCCCAGTTCCCAGCTGGATACTGGGCTCGGTACTGAACTAATGCCTCGTTCTCCTGGCTTCATGGCCTTTTACTCATGCAACAAGTCTGTGCCAATGAGTAACCCTCACCTCAGCTGCCTTAAGTGTCTTGGAGAGGCATCAAAGAGTCCTGTGGCACCTTATAGACTAACAGACGTATTGGAGCATGAGCTTTCGTGGGTACATCCGACGAAGTGGGTATTCAACACAGCTACCCCTCTGATACTTGGAGAGGCATGTGAGTGACAAATTTCACATTTGTAAAGGGTTCAAACCCCGATCAAAAAAGGACAGGGCTGCCAGACTCAAGTACCTGCTTATGGAGCCTGTGCTAGAACAACGCTTCCTTGGCTCTCGTCCCCTAATGCCCCTACTCTACTTGCACTACATTGATGACATCTTCATCATCTGGACCCATGGAAAAGAAGCCCTTGAGGAATTCCACCATGATTTCAACAATTTCCATCCCACCATCAACCTCAGCCTAGACCAATCCACACAAGCGGTCCATTTCCTTGACACTACTGTGCTAATAAGCAATGGTCACATAAACAGCACCCTATACCGGAAACCTACTGACCGCTATACTTACCTCCATGCCTCCAGCTTCCATCCAGGACACACCACACGATCCATTGTCTACAGCCAAGCTCTAAGATACAACCACATTTGCTCCAATCCCTCAGACAGAGACAAACATCTACAAGATCTCTATCAAGCATGCTTAAAACTACAATACCCACCTGCTGAAGTGAAAAAACAGATTGACAGAGCCAGAAGACACCTACTACAGGCCCAACAAAGAAAATAATAGAACGCCACTAGCCGTTACCTTCAGCCCCCAACTAAAACCCCTCCAGCGCATCATCAAAGATCTACAACCTATCCTGAAAGATGATCCCTCACTCTCACAGATCTTGGGAGACAGACCTGTCCTCGCTTACAGACAGCCTCCCAACCTGAAGCAAATACTCACCAGCAACCACACACCACAGAACAAAAACACTAACCCAGGAACCTATCCTTGCAACAAAGCCCAATGCCAACTCTGTCCACATATCTATTCAAGTGACACCATCATAGGACCTAATCACATCAGCCACACCATCGGGGCTCATTCACCTGCACATCTACCAGTGTGATATATGCCATCATGTGCCAGCAATGCCCCTCTGCCATGTACATTGGCCAAACAGGACAGTCGCTACGCAAAGAATAAATGGACACAAATCTGACATCAGGAATCATAACATTCAAAAACCAGTAGTAGAACACTTCAACATCTCTGGCCATTCAGTAACAGATTTAAAGGTGGCAATTTTGTAACAGAAAAGCTTCAAAAACAGACTCCAATGAGAAACTGCTGAACTAGAATTGATATGCAAACTAGATACAATCAATTTAGGCTTAAATAGAGACTGGGAATGGCTGAGCCATTACACACATTGAATCTATTTCCCCATGTTAAGTATCCTCACAGCTTCTTGTCAAACTGTCTTAAATGGGCTGTCTTGATTATCACTACAAAAGTTCTTTTTCTCCTGCTGACAACAGTTCATGTTAATTAATTAGCCTCTTAGAGTTGGTTGGGCAACTCCCACCTTTTCATGTTCTCTGTATGTATATATATCTCCTCACTATATGTTCCATTCTATGTGTAACCCTTCTGCCCATCTAGTTGGCAGCAACAAGGGCCGGGTTCTGTATCTAGGGGTTCCGTTTCAATAACACAATGCAAAACCGGCTCGAGCCCCCACCCAGTGACCTGGGACAATTACATACCACCCCCCCTGGGTCCCTCTAAGAGGCAATACTTCCCCTCTCGCAAGCACGGAGTCTGAGTGTAGCAGAAAATGTTTAATAACATGAGGTAAACGACATCAGCATAAAATTGGAAAAAACACCACAAACAGGATTCACAACACAAACCATGAGCAAAACCCACCCCAGCAAATTGGGCTGTGTCCTTTCCCTTTGGTTCTTGAATCCAGCAAACCAAAAATCACCCAGAGTCCCCAAAGTCCGACACCCCCAAAGTCTCTTGGGTCCAGCAACCACCCAAAGTCCCAAAAGTCCAACAACCCCCAAAGTCTCTGTCCCTGGTCAGTGCAGTCCCAGAGTAAAAGGGGGGGGGCACGCAGGGTGTTAAGGGGCACCTTACGTGATCCGAGGCTGGCCAGCCGTCTGTTTCTCCGTGGGGGTTCCGCCACAGCCTTTACCACGAGCCAGTCCACTTTCCTGCCATCCCACAAACTGCTCCGCTGTACAAGCTGCTCCGCTCCGCTCACCGACCTGTGAGCCGTTCCAACCGGCCCCGCAAGGCTCCACGCCGTTCGCTGCTCCTCCAGTCGTCCCCACAAATTGCTCCGCCAGCTGCTGAGCAATATAGCTTCAGGCTCCCCCACTAGTTAACACAGCACTCAGTGATTTCAGCTCTTAATAACGTCAGCTCTCTTGTGATTTCAGCTCTTAATAACATCAGCTCTTTTGTGATTTCAGCTCATAGTATAGTAGGGGAGCCCCAGTGCTGGTGCACCATTGGCCCAAAGTGAATTCAGCTCCGCAGCCTGTAACTAGACTCCTAAGGGAATCAAAGTTAGCTCTGACATTCAACAGTGGAGAGAGGAGGCGGTGCAATTGGTGTTTCAAACCCTCAGAGGGGGCCCATACCATCAGGTACAAATACCTGTCGCCATCCTCTCTCAATTCACTGGGTTTTGTAACCCATGCCCCTTGTCAAGCAAGTGCTACTTAGGTAATGGTGAGGGACTCACTCAGTCGTTCTGTCATACAACAGTTCCACTGGCCTTGATTCACAGAATCAGGGTAACAAAACTTTATTCTTCCCTCCCCAATAATAGAGAAACTGGGGATCCCACACCAGCCAAAGTAACCATTTTCAGTTGTTGTGTTTCATGCCAGGCGAGTGGGTGTGCCTATGCAAACAAGATCAGCCCCTGGAGTTCTTTTCCGCACTCGCCATAATTCACCACCAGATGTCAGGGTAGAGCTCATCCTGACTCTGCTTACATCTGCATCTGATGAAGTGGGCTGTAGCCCATGAAAGCTTATGCTCAAATAAATTTGTTAGTCTCTAAGGTGCCACAAGTACTCCTGTTCTTTTTGCGGATACAGACTAACACGGCTGCTACTCTGAAACCTGTGCTTCACCAGCTATCAAAACCTTCCTGCTCAGAATGAGTACCAAGTGTGTCGGTGCTGATTAGGAAGGCTCCCCCTGTTCTGAGTCCAGAGGCAGATCCTCATTGCTGGCACCTAAGGAAACACAACTTAAGTCTCCCAAGAGTCAGCACCAAGGACTTTAAAGTCTACAATGAAGACAGCGAGTGGAGGCAAGGACTCAGAGGTGTGCTCCAAGAAGAGGGACTCCCAGGGCCAGTCCATAAGCCAGGAGGGATTGCTGACTCTGGAGCCCAGGAAGGGTCCATTAAAACAAATCCCTGAAGGATCAGTGGACCTTTCAGTACTGCAGACTTGGTAGTCCTTTCCAGTGCCATCTACACCCGAAGCTTTCAAAGCAGTCAGTTGGTTGAACCTATCGGTGCTGACTTTCCTTGCTGGTCAAGAAACTCACCCGTGATCAACCAATACTCCGAGGTCCTTCTCCTCCTCTGTTACTTCCAAGTAATGCATCCCCAGTTTATAACTAATTCTTGTTGTTAATCCCTAAATGCATGACCTTGCACTTTCACTATTAAATTTCATCCTATTACTATTACTCCAGTTTACAAGGTCATCCAGATCTTCCTGTAAGATATCCCAGTCCCTCTCTGTATTGGCAATACCTCCCAGCTTCGTGTCATCTGCAAACTTTATTAGTGCATTCTTCCATGGACTGATGGGTAGAAGCTGCAGATGTTTGTGAGGGAGTTTCCTTTGCCCCTCCACAATAGTCAGTCACTCTAGTCACAGATGCATTGGGTCTAGGCTGGGGAGGTCACTTAGGTCCCCTTCAGACTCAGGTTCTAAGTTTTCATATAAATTATCAGGGAGTTTTGGACCATCCATTTCGCTTGCATGGCATTCCTTCCAAATATCAAGGGGCGGAACTTGTCTGGTACTCACAAACGACACAGCAGCCATGTTCTATGTAAACAAATGGGGCAGGGGGCATTCATCAGAGGTGTACAAACAGGCAATCCTCCTTGGAATTTGTGCATTGCCAGTTCCATCAGCTTGAGAGCTGCTTACCCTCCAAGAGTTCAAAACATGCTGGCAGATTGCCTGAACAGGTCATTCGCTGGTGACAAGTGGTCTCTTCACCCAGATGTGTCCAAGTCCATTTTCCAGCAATGGAGAACTCCCCAAGTAGCCTGTTTGCAACAAGAACAAACAAAAATGTCTTTTTTTTTTTTTTTTGTTCCTGAGTGGATCACAACCCGGGTTCACTGATAGATGCTTTCCTCCTACCCTGGTCAAAAAGTCTGCTGTATGCCTTTCCTCCAGTTCCGCTCCTGCCCAAAGTCTTGTCCAGTGTCAAGCTCACCATATTCTAATAGCCCCAACATGGCCCTGGCAACAGTGGTTTTCAACTACTAGCCCTATTGGTCAGACTTCTACTGCCACTCCTGAGAAATGTGGATGTGATCTCCCAGGACCACAGCTTTCTCCTTCATTCCAGCCTTCAGACCTGATAGCATGGATTCTTCATGGCTGACAAAATCAAAACGAGTTTGCTCTAAGGAGGTGCAGGAAATTCTTCTAAATAGTAGGAAGCCTTTAACTAGGTATTTTTATTGCTAAATGGAAGAGATTTTCTGTTTGGTCCATACAAAGAGGCATTCCCCCAGCTCAAGATCCAATTTGCCATAATTTGGACTACTTTTGTTTCTGAAACAAGAAGGATTAGCTCTTAGATCCATCAGTGCTTCTCAAAGTCGGGCCGCCGCTTGTTCAGGGAAAGCCCCTGGCGGTCCGGGTCGGTTTGTTTACCTGCCGAGTCCGCAGGTTCGGCTGATCGCGGCTCCCACTGGCCGCGGTTCACCACTCCGGGCCAATGGGGGCTGCGGGAAGGGTGGCCAGCGCATCCCTCGGTCCGCGCTGCTTCCCACAGCCCCCATTGGCCTGGGCTGGCAATCGGCTGAACCTGTGGACGCAGCAGGTAAACAAACCAGCCCGGCGTGCCAGGGGCTTTCCCTGAACAAGCGGCAGACCGGCTTTGAGAAGCACTGCATTAGACAACTATCTCAGCTTTCCACCCTCCTTTGGATAACCAATCAGTTTTTTCAAATCCTATGACCATCAGATTTCTAAAGTGTTTGCTCAGATTATACCCACAGGTTCACAGCCTGGTTCCACAGTGGAGTTTAAATTTAGTTCTAGCAAAATTGATGGGTCCCTTCTTTGAGCTGCTAGCAATTTGTTCTCTGCTACACCTGTCTATGAAGGTGGCTTTCTTGGTTGCTATAACCTCAGCTAGGAGAGTTGGAGACCTGCAAACTTTACAAATCAGAGCTTCCCTATTCAATTTTCTTTAGGAACAAGATTTTATTTCAACCTCATCCAAAATTCCTGTCTAAATTGGTTTCCAGTTTACACAATAATCAAGCAATGTATTTACCCACTTTCTTTCCAAAGCCTCATTCAAGTAAAAGGGAAGAAAAGCTCCATAGTCTAGATGTTAGAAGAGCTTGGACTTTTTATCTGGATTGGACTCAGCCTTTCAAGTCTATCTCAGCTCTTCACTGCAGTTTCAGACAAAGTAAAGGGCCACCCAGCTGAGTTTCCAGCTGTATTTGTTTATAATGCTGATTGGCTGATATTGCACCTCCAAATAAAATGGTGGCTCACTCACCCAGGTCGCAGGCAACTTCTGCAGCTTTTCTGGCTCATGTATCTATACTGGACATTTGTAGAGTGGTAACCTCTGTGTCAGTCCATACACTTCTCTCTCATTATGCCATCTCTCATCAATCTAGAGACAATGCCAGATTTGGATGTGTGGTCCTACAGTCCCTGTTCAAGTAGACTCTGAGCCCACCTCCAGTTTGAACTTCTTGTGAGTCATCTACAATAGACATGTGCCACCACTCGAAGAAGAAAAATGGTCACCTACCTTTCTATAACTACTGTTCTTCGAGATGTCCAGTCCATGACCTGCCTTCCTTCCCCTCTCAATTGGAGTCTTTCTGTTAGGAAGGAACTGATGGGTGTAGGAATAGCGCAGCCCTCTATACCTGCATACAGTAATACAAGGGCTCCAGAAGGTGTTCACGCAGCCTCGACAAGAACTGCTTAGGGAAAAATCTCTGACAACTGTGCACACGGTATGCACACACCTCCAGTAGAAAAGAAAGGTAGGTAACAGCTTTTTGCCCTCAGTGGTTGTGGAGTTCCATTTTTCCTCCTCCTTCATATTTCTTAAGGAGAGGTCATTCTCCTCTAATTATGTACAGAGCACACTTTGTTTTTCTATTTTTCCAAAGTCTCATCATTTTTTGGTATATGAGGACAGTCCAAAGGGAAAATAATATCATGTCAGCATTTGTCTAAACAGATAGCTGAATGCATTTCAAAGTTTCCATATCCCAAATATACACGGCACTAATGCAAAGCTTTTTTTTTTTTTACATACTTATTGTCTAGAGGCACAAGTTTGCTTATATGTCTGCTTTGGCAAAGCAATTTTGCTGTCCATGTTTAGTTGATACTCCTCAAACCTCTTAGGGGAATTTAATGCTGACTGATCTCCAATACTGTGCATCTGGAGAGACACATTTAATAAAGGAGAAAAATAGATTAATTACTGAAAACTGGAATATCTGAATGTAGAATATTTGTCTCCAAATATCCGTACTCAGTTTCTCTCTATCCTGCTTTTTTTTTTTTTTGGACTTTTTCTGATTCCAGATAGGTGGTGTAGGTATGTATACTTCCTTTTATAGATGCAGTCTTGGTATCATTGACCACCCTAAATCAAAATTTTAACCAATCTGGATGGTTCTAAATCCACTTTTTTAAATGGTTCGCACATCAAGAAAAGTGTGGCTCTTTCAGTGTATTATATATTGAGAGAACTCCAGTTACTTAAAACTAATCAATGGATTTTCTGTGTGTACTAATCTCAGAAAATTATTTCTGAAATCTTTTACATTCTCTTATCTTTAATTCCTCACAATATATACAGCTAATTTGTAACACTACCTTTTGGGAATACAGACAAACTCCACTCTCTAGAAACAATGGTAATGTTGAAATGAAAAGGGTCACAGTGGACAGTACCTTCCAAAAGAATGTCTAATTCTGTAACTTGTGGCTCCCAGCAACACTTACAAGATGTTTAATCACAGGAGATAATGCAATTAAAGGGCACTTTTACCACATTTTTAAAATGTGGTTCTTCTCTGAAAGGTGTTTAACTGATTCTGTGTCACATTTGCTCTGTTTACAAATAAAAAACGGCTAATAGGATTGTGTGGGTTTAAATGAGAACCTAATTTAGGCTTAATAAGGAGGTCTGCACGCTTTTAGGCTCCACTCATGCATGCACACACTCACATACAAACAATAATTAAATAAATTTTAAACTTTTTAAACTCTGTCAGTTAATCAAACTACTTCTCCTAAAGGCTGGGCTGAGGTCCTTTTAATGATTGATTGGTTTACTAACTACTAGCTTTTTAAGTTCACCATAATAGTCAAGTAGGAGTTCTTTCTATCTGTCATCATCACCATTAGTAAAGATTTGACAAGCCAGAACATACCCTGTCACTTTAATGGGTAGAATTGCATTTTATGGGTGCTTCCCTTTGCATTATAGTAACCCATCTCCAGGACTATATAAACTATGAGACCAAAAACTGGGATTCGTATCAGTCGATATACATATTAACATGTCCCAACAACTCATCTATAGTTGTTCACTGCTCCCTCACTTGCCATCTAACTGGCTGGCATGAGTTCAGTCCAAACTCCAAGTAGGTATCCGTGTGGCCGGGAGCCAGTTCCTTTTCAAATATTTGGGCTTGTTAATCAACAAGGACAAGTCGGTCTGCTCTCTAGTACAGTGGCCAGGGTGTTCCTGTCATAAGCCAGGTACCACACAATGCTAAATATTTGTGCAGCTCTCAAAGCCCATCTGCTCACAACAGTAAGAAACCATCTTTCACTCCTTGTGCACATGACCTACATGTACGTGATTTGGCACAGCAGGCTTCATCTCAGGAATTTGCAGGGCTGGTTAAAGTTGGCTAATTCCCTGTCTCATCATCCACTAGACATGCCGGTTCATGTGCTTGCAGGAGTCCTAGCCTCCTTAGACAATGTGGACATGGGAGTTCTCTTTACCCTGCTTGTGCCCACAAAGACTGTCATTATTGACACTTCTTTATGTTGGGAGCTCACCTAAGTAAGAACTATGAATGGAGGACTATAGTCCTATCAACTTGGAATCAAGAACTACGGGTTGCATCAAGATCTAGTTCTCCACGTATTGCATTCAATTCATCTTGTATGTTGTTTTTCTCCCTCATATTAAAGAACTGATCTTACAAGTAGCACCAGCTTGGCCTTGCCAGCATTGGTTTTCCACTTTTCTGAAACTATCAGTCAGGACTCCATTGGCTGTTCTTTGGGATCCCAACATAATTTTCTAGGACCAAGGTCAAATGCTACATCCCAACCCATCCACTCTCCATCGCAGGGCATGGATGCTCCAATGTTAATGCCTCAAGAGGTGGGGTGTTCTGTGGACATACAAATGAGGAAGTCATCTACAAGTAATCTTACCTGTTGTAGTGGTGTTACCCGGGGTTCTTTCAACCCAAAGCTCTTGGTAACTTTTACTCTGTGCAAGGTGGTGTCAGGAAATAAATCAGGGGAGACACGGCTGTCTGACGGATAGATGGCTGGCACAAACAGGACAACACAAGAGTGCTTTCACTTAAAGCTACACTTTACTTAGTCTCAAGCACTTACACTCGTCCACAACAGATTAGTAAAACACCCCCAACCCTTGATAATTACCAAAGCTGCATGTGGCTCTCGAGTGAAACAGCGGCAGGCTTCCGGTGGCCAAATCTTCCGTCTGCCGGTGGGGACCGCAAGATGTATCCAGAGGGAGAGTCCAAAAAGAGTCCCCAAACGAGTCCAACTATCTCAAGCTTTTTCCCCTTATTTATACATTAGTAATAGAATGACATGTCCCTTAAAGAAAACTTGTTAAGCAAGCAGTTCCAATGGGCAAGCAAGAGGCTCCTTCTGATTATTGATTAACCAGGGGTGGGTTTTTCCAGAGTTTTCACCCTTGAGACCCCAATAGACAATTCCTGTGGTACATCCTGCTCTTTTAAAATGCATGTATCAGCAACTTCAACACAATTCTTAACAGGAAGGATGCGGGGTCAAGTTGCCCTTTCTGTGGCACCCCAACCTCCCCTCCCCCGCCCTTGGTCAAGCTGAGACTGCTGAATGGCCAATTTACAGCTTGCTGACTAGGCTGCCTTTAACAATAAGCCATAGTGGTTTCAGGCACTTTACTGGTTTGCCAAAAAAACTTCCCCTTCAGTGGGAGTGTTTTTCCCTATGGGTGCAGTAGAAAGGTTTTTCACCAGTCTTGGCCTCAGTCCAGCATGTTTTAGATATTTGTTTTCCTGAAGCAATAAAGCCTCTCTGTTAGTTCCCTCAGAGTTCACCTGACATCTGTCTCCCTGCAACTGGTTGGCCACTCACTATTTTTCTAACCCTATATCAATCAGATTCCTAATAGGATTAGACAGGTAGTATCCCCATATCCTGGATCCCACTCCTCCCTGGATCTTGATTTTGGTGGGCAATGTTATTCTCCCTTTGAATTGACGGCTACCTCTTCTTTCCTGCATCTATCTATGAAGGTAGCTTTCTTGCTGGCCATTACCTCCACAAGAAGGGTGTCAGTTATGTGTGTTGGTCGTGGATCCTTACATAGTATTTTGTAAGGACAAGGTATACTCCTGTCCTCATCTGAAGTTCCTAATTAAGGTTGTCTCAGAGTTCTACCGCATCAGGCAATATACTTACTGGCATTCTTTCCTAAGCCCCGTTCTTAGTAGAATGAAGAACGGCTTCATATTGTGGATGTCAGAAGGGTATTGTTTTTTTACTTGGATGAGATCATTTAGATCATCATCTCAGCTGTTTATTTCAGTTGCTGACAGCATGAAAAGCCTCCTGGGCTCGTGACAAAGGATTTCATCCTGGATGTCTTCCTGCATAATAAATCTGTTACAACATTTCCAAAGTACCTCCACCAACCAGGATGGTAGCATGCTCCACAAGAGCCCCATCAGCTTCCTCCACTTTCCTGGCTCAGGTGCTTCTTAGGGACATTTGTAAAGCTGCAACAGGGTCGTTGGTGCATACTTTTACAGGTCATTGTGCTATAGCTCAAGAATCCAGAGATTATGCAAAATATGGACAAGTAGTTCTACAGTCATTGTTCAGGTAGGTTCTGAAATGTTCCTCCAGTTCGAATGCTTGAGAGTCACCTAAAGTGGAATGGACGTATGCAATCACTTGAAGAAGAAAAAAGTGGTCACTAACCTGTTCTGTAACTGTTGTTCTTTTGAGATGTGTTGAACATGTCCATTCCATTACCCACCCTTTACCTTCCCCTCTATAATGGAGTCTCTATCTGTTAAGAAGGAACTGATGGGGGTTAGGGCAGTGCCCCCTTTTATATAATCAGACACCAGCATGAGAGTGCTAAGGGTGCATGCGGCACCAAAGGGTACAACTAAGGGGAAAATCGCCATCTCTGATGCACGCTGAAGTGAAATGGACATATCTTAAAGAACAACAGAACAGGTCATTTTCCTGTTTTTTTCCTTGAAGCAAGGGTTGTTATTCTCCAGTTTTTATGCTCAGGTGTGAAATTACCATTGAAAGTATAATGTACCAGAGACTGATTTTTAGCACAAAAATGTGCTCAATTCTTATCCACTGAAGTCAGATCAGTAGTGCTTTCTTCACAACCCAGAAAGTAGATAGGAGTGCAGCAGGTCTTCTTTCCTTGCACTGTCAGAATCACTGGTTCTCTCTGCTCTTCCAATGAGACGAGATGCAGCAGCAGAACATGGCAGGATGAAACTGCTGGTCCATGGAAGAGAAGTACTGCCAGTCCAACTTCAGTGCAGAAACCTTATGCTTTGAAGTTCTTTATGTGATGATGTCAGACCATTGATTTTGTGGAAAATATAAACTCTGCTGCAGCTTCTAATGTCCACAAAATCAATAACAAATTTTATAATTTTGTGCCAAGACCCAGCAGAGTTTTGAGGGTCATTGGTTAAATTGGGAGGGAGGGAAGAATGATATCATGCCTCAACTTTTCCTCATCTTTTAAATACTACTTTCCCTTCTTTTTTGTCCCCTCAACCAGCAGTGATAAGAAGAAGTTTAGTGTCACGGGATCTGTGTAGTCATGGATTCTGTATCTCCTTCCTCAGATTATCCCCAAACCCGCTTGTGCATGCCCACTGATTTGGACGTGATTTTATGCTCCCTTTCACAACACATGGGAATTTCAGAGGCTCTTCCCCCTCACAGCCCCACTGAAGACCTTAAGGAGTGCAGAGCACCTTGTGTTGGCCCTTTGCACTGAGTGAATTTCACTTTAAAACAATGTTATAATTTTACACCAAGTAGAAAGCAGCATAACTTGGGTGTCTCTCTTCAGTAATATATGGATTTCCTGGGACTGATAGATGGGTGCAAAACTAAACTTAATAATTTTCATAACAATTCATTTTCTCAAACTTATTTTTTGCTGGTAATTAATCTATTATGCTCTAATATAAAAGGCAGGGCTGGCTCCCGGGGTTTGCCGCCCCAAGCAGCAAAAAGAAAAAGAAAAAAAGCTGCAATCACGATCTGTGGCACTTCGGC